TGCCTAATAAGGACTTGGTTACACCTAAATAGGAGACATAAAAACCTTATTATAGAACTTTGTTATCCCTCGTTACAACGGATTTTCAACGATCCTAAAAGCTCACCATGAGCAAGCTGAGGTGAGCTGAAGGTGAGCTGTGCGAAACTAAAAAAAAATCAATTAGAAATTTTAAAGGGTATCAAAAGTATTGAAGACTGCATATCACAGCAAGCTGTCAAAAGGCTGTAACACCGACACTGTAATAGTCCTACAGCTACTTTCTAGCTTTACTGATGGAGGAGGAAATCAGGTGGCCCTCATAGCATTATTTCAGACACGAGCGAGCACCCGAGTAGAACACCGACATAGGTGGAAAACTTCCTCACATGAAAGAATTCAAAGTATTTGCCGGACTTAAACAGCAATAAGGGGTCGGTTTAACTGTAGAATTATGACCGGGCAGTCTTTATTCTTTAATGAAAATGAGCCTCGGTCATTACTTATAACAGAATATTCATGATGTACAGATATTTTCATACTTCCGAAGATACGATATATATATTCCTGAACAAAATGTTGACTTCTAAGACTAGGTCAATGAAACTGTCAATGTCACATGAAAGCCAAAGAGAATGTACTACTTCTGTTGCGACGACAATACTAGCAGCTTCCAGTTTGAAATCAGTAAGATTGAGGTCAATTTTCTACAGAATTTCTTAGGTCAGAAGGACAATATTCTATATAAAATGAGTCACTTTTTGTATAGGATATTGGGAAACGCGCTTTTACTGTCTTTAACATCTGTGTGACAGCAATTCTCCATTCCTTTATAATAAACAGGTTTGTTGTCAATTATAGTGGTATATATACTTTAACGAGTAAGCATTAGGCAATGCCACAAGGTATTAATGATAAAGCGACACGTAAATAATGATACGATTTATTAATAAATTCTGACGAATCCTCCGGAATATTCGTACTTATGTCAATGGTAAATTTCAAGTAAATTTGACAAACCAGTTCTAAGATATTGGTCCAAACGACTGAACTGACAGACATCTGGCCAACGCCATTCCAAAATCCCCATTCCAGCGAGGACTAGAACAGTATACCTGACAGACCCTGTTGTTTCTTAGACAAAGTGTAAGATCTTCAAATGTAGTATACCACACTGACAATTTTGGGCGAGATAATTAGGTGATTAGAAGATGATAAAATCTCTATGAATGATCAACATATGCATCAACAAGTTGTGTTTGTTTTTCTTCTGACACAATCACTCACAGTAAGTCCAGACAGGGGTTGGATTAGAACTTTTCTTTCCAAACCTGCATATCCAATGTAAAATGTACACTTATATATCCTATTTGTCTTTTGAAAGAATAAAAAACAAACAAACAATAGTTCAGCTTGAATTTTCCATTTATTTTATTGGTTATGAAAAATATGAATAAAGATGACAATATACAGTATGTTTTTGAGAGTTTGTGTTTTAATGATATTAAACCGATAAAAGCTTGATAAAATTCTACTTGTATTTTCAAACTTCTTAGCTAAAATGACGCAATATACAATGTAGGTAAAATAAAATGTTGAAAGTTGACAAATATAAAATACTACTGCATCATTTTTTACTATGATAATGAACGAGGATGTTCATATTTACACATGTATGTGACATATTCTAGATGTATTAAAATTAAAGATGTTTGATTTAATCTGTATTAGAAATACATAATGATTGAAAATATGGCAACATTCAAACCAAATATCTTTTTCATCTTTGTGGTGTATTTTAATATATAGATCTAAGCAAAAAAAATATTTTCTTGTAAATTCATGAAGCATGTTCAATATCAAGTTATAGTTTTATTTAACAACAAAACCTATTTAAATTAGTTTTACTGAAAATATTTTATGTTATTAAGATTGAATTGATTCATCCGTTAGTGACAATGGTTGACAGTTGTCTATAAAACTGACATTTAGCAACAGTGTTAGCACATAGGTAGCTATAAATAATTAATATTTATGTATAATATACAAAAACACTTCACCAGTCATATATACATTATACTATAATAGTATATTATAATATATAATTTTTTCATCAGAGAATGTGGCCTAGAGATTAAGGTGTCTGCCTCTCAATAAAGAGATTGTTTTTCCACATATATGACACCAGTACTGGTAGAAAACAATTCATCTTAGTAGCAAGAACTTACATAACAATCATCCTTAACTACTAAATTATTTGACTAAATCATATCGGAACTTGATGATTTCTTCGTGTTTGAAAAGCAAAGAGATCTATATCATTTAGTTGGTCCAAAGATACATAAGAAAAATTCTGGGTTTTTTTTCAAACATCAAATTCTATCCTTATTAATCAATTTTCAAAGCTTAATCAGACTTTTCTCACTATGGAAATACAAGAATTGAATATCTAGCATAATATAGTATGGTCAAACTATGACAGTGTAGGCTAGTCAAACTCCTTACTGCTGGCTCATGTTTTATTACTGCTAACATTAAGGAGGTTAACTTTTTAAACCCCAATCATTGAAATAAATCACAAATCTACAAACAGAACACACCCATTAATTAGTTTTAATTAATTTGTAATTAACAAGAACACAAATGAAAATAGATTAGCATTAACTAGATTTAACAACATCCATAGACTTTAGATATATCAAACAATTCACAACATCCAAAAAATATACTGTCCAAATACATGCCTATAATTGCCAGTATATAACATGAAATTTATATCCACCAATTCAGTTCTATTTAACTTTACAAAATTATTATTTTATTTGTTATAGGTTAAAGGCCCATTATGCCCCAGAATTGCTTTTATTTTTACTTCTCAAAATGTTTTTATTTGTGTTGTCCTGTCAAAGTTTCCCAACAAGTTAAGTCATTTGGCAATACCTGAACTATCTTTCGCTTCTCTTGCTTTTTTGGGCAATTAGTATAGTTTTAGAGATTTAGTATTTTGTATGGAAGTTCAAAGTAATACTATGTTTACATTTTGTTACTTTAATAACAAATTATTTCACATTCAGTGCTTATTTCCACAGATGATAAAAAAACCATAGAACTCATATTTGCCCTTTCTGAAGAAAGACAAACTTATCTGTTTCTTAGGCATAAAGTGCCTTTAAAAGACAAATGTTTTGAAATCTTGGAGTTCTTACATCATATATGCCCCGAGATTATGTTCAGCTTGCAATGTAGGAGGACAGTAAACTATCACCATGTATAACAACCCATACCAGTACACATTAAGGTAACATCCAAAACCAACAATCACCCAGTATATAGTTATAAACAATCTCTCATCACTTTTATATTAACATCTGTTATCTTCTCGAACAATTTACTACACTTTTGTTATTATCCATTAACAGATTCTTTTATGAAATTATCAAACCTGTACATACCAACTGTTTTCATAAAAATTCATTGAAATTCACAGAAACCTTTGTTCACACCTTCATAAAAAGAATCATTATATCGAGAAAGTCAAACAGAAAAAATATATCATTAACCATCAAAGTAGATGCCACAAATTTATGCCAAGAAATTTGATTTTTATGCAACAAAACATCTTTTCAATCAAAATAAAAATGAAAACCTGTGAAAAAAAGTTTAAAACTGACAGAACAAACAAGAGAAAATTTAATTATGTTTGTCTTTTTCTGTTTGTAATTTCCTTTTATTTCAACATCAAATACACACATCAAAATGCATTCTAGTAAAACAGATGCCATTAAAATGGCAAAGGTAATAATAAGCCCTTTTTATGGCTTTCAACTACATTAGCTCTTGGAGTATCAATATCATTAAAGACATTGAGTTAACGATTGTGATGGCCAGAAATGCACTTGACATTATTATTTTGTTGAACCTTGTGGTATTTTGCCAAGAAATGATAATAAACAAAAAGGTTATTATGATAATCAAGGTTTTTTAAACTATTCAATTTATTATATAAATACCAGTTTCATTAGCATTTCATTCTATCATTGCCTAATTTATTCATATATATCAGATCAGCTTGTTTCAATTACCTTCCTGAATTTACAGCTAACAAAGTTGATGAGAGAAGGTAACATTGTGAATACACTAGAAACATAAGCAAACATTTTGTTACCCATTTCAAGATTTCTATACACTATTCAGCACAGCTATCTCCAATTAAAACTCAATGTACACTACAGATGAACAAAATAGATTTATACAAAATAAATTAACATCTATAAAAGAAACTTTATTTACAATGATAAAGAAATATACACAGATTCATTCACATATATACACTTAAATGGAGAAAATAAAGCTCATGTTTTTAACGTAAAATTTGGAAATATGGATGCCATTTACATGATGAAAAAATGATTATGGTATTTTACACTGACTTATTTTATTACTTGGTTATCAATTATACACAGATAATGCATGAACTCAGACTATCATAATCTAATAATTTAAAGGGGATTTTACTTCCTTTAATATAAACAACATTTCTTTAAAGATTTTTTAAGTACTTGTCACTTTTAATGTAAACAACAAAGAAAGACTTTCATTTGTTTATATTTGGAAATTAAAATGTAAAATTTTCACTTTTATACACTTCCTGTTAAATGTTAATGAGTTATCACATTCCCAATTAAACCTAGAACAAAATCTCTCTTATACAGTTAACAATAGTTAGATTTTCTACATGTACTCAACTTCTTGAAACAATTCAGATGACGATGACTTTCACAATGGTTTATCAACAAAGATAAAAAGATCATAATACATGTCTGGAAATTGATGATGATGTTGCTGCTGATATATACAAGTATTGATGAAAATACAACAACAAAAATATACTATATATAAAATAACAGTTCCTGTTTCAAAATTTAATGAAGTAAAATTTTCATTTTGTTATGCTATGCTGCCTACAATTTTATTAGCATTTGTTTCAGAGGATTTTTTTTTTGAGAAAAAAAAAAAACAACAATAAAAAACAATCAATCAAATCTTAAGCACATCTAAATTTGATATTTTCTAGAATTTTATTGAAATGAAATGATAAGAATGGAATAAATTAACAACAAGACTATCATATAATTAATCTTCACAGCTTGAATCACCTGATAAAGGATTGGGTTCCCCAGTTACACTACATCGATGTAGAATAGCTTTCTCATACGCTTTCTGTACAGCCTTACGTACATTTGGTTTCTTATTTTCTAACAACTTGCTTTTGTCGAGTCCAGAGTCGACCCCTAGTGGTTCAAGCTTGTTTCTTGGTAACCATTGCCTGGAAAACACAAAACATATCTTCAATTTGATTATTTTAACTAATTCAAGGTTTTTCTTTCATTTTTACTGAATGACAAACTTGGAGAGACCAAACAGGCTGTAAGAAAGAAGAAAATTATTGACCTATCAACTTATTATAAGAGAAACCTAACATATACTTGTCCCGGTAAACATTTACAGGAGACAGTAAAATGTTTAAGACAAACACTTCCATGGGAAATATTCAATGTTATAGTCTTAATCTTTAATTAACAAAAATTATCAGTGACAGTAAAGCAAACTAAATAAAGTCTTTTGAGGGTATTTTCAGGAACTTTCTGCTGGCAAGATTTTACTATTTGGTTGAAATTCAATAACTTGATGCACTCTTTTCACTTGATAAACAAATTCCTAAATCACGCATTCTTTCAAACAGTTTCATTTTTACCTCTATTTACAATTGATTTTAATTGCATTTTCTTGCACTTTACTTTAACCACATCTTTCATCATAAAACTAGCATTAATTTAATTGTACAAAACTTACTGAAATTCTATCATTTTATCACACAAAACATCACCAAAATTCTCACTTTCAAGTGGTAAATTACTCTTTTAGAGACAATTCAGTGAGAGGAATGTTTCAAAACATAAAAGATCACTTATTTTCAAGACCAAGTATGCAGATAAAAATCATAATGATGACTATCAGTAAGAATTACTTCCCTTGTCTGTACATCTCTTATAACAACTATTTCTATTGTACCATTTTTATATAAGCATTGGCAGTTTAGTACAAATCTATAAAATGGGTGATAATATTGGAGTATTTAACAAGATATGACTGATATGTTTGACATAAATCTATGCCAGATTTGAACTTCTTTCTTTCACAAGTCCAGTTCTTAAAGTTCGAAGGTGTATTTGTTGTATAAGCAAAACTTATTCCACAATTCAGGACATAAATATCACCACATAAAGATAATTTATTATTTTGTAATGAAAATTATATGAATAAAATTTCAACAAATTTAAGACTGACTGCTCTGTACTTATAAATGTAATAATAGCAAAATGTGCACCTTACAAAACTGGACATATTTCCATAAAACAAGAGGGCCATGATGGCCCTGAGGTCGCTCACCTGTATATAGGCCCCCCCAACCCCCACCACCCCAGGGCTTTTATTTGAACAAACTTGGTAGACACTTATTAGAACATGATGTTAAATATCTTAGCTCTAACTCTTTTGGTTCTTTAAAAGAAGATTTTTTAAGTTTTTACTATATGCATATAGGGAAAATCAATGACCCCCTGGGTCGGGGCCAATTTTGACCCCAGGGCTTTTATTTGAACAAACTTGGTAGACACCTATTAGAACATGTTTGATGCTCAATTTCTTAGCCATAGCTCTTTGAGTTCTTTAAAAGAAGATTTTTTAAGTTTTTACTATATGCATATAGGGAAAATCAATGACCCCCGGGGAGGGGCCAATTTTGACCCCAGGGCTTTTATTTGAACAAACTTGGTAGACACCCATTAGAACATGTTTCATGCTAAATATCTTAGCTCTAGCTCTTTGGGTTCTTTAAAAGAAAATTTTTTAAGTTTTTACTTTATGCATATAGGGAAAATCAATGACCCCCTGGGTCGGGGCCAATTTTGACCCCAGGGCTTTTATTTGAACAAACTTGGTAGACACCCATTAGAACATGTTTCATGCTAAATATCTTAGCTCTAGCTCTTTGGCTTCTTTAAAAGAAGATTTTTTAAGTTTTTACTATATGCATAGAGGGAAAATCAATGACCCCCCGGGGCGGGGCCAATTTTGACCCCAGGGCTTTTAATTGAACAAACTTGGTAGACACTCACTAGAAGATGTTTCATGCCAAATATCTTAGCTCTAGCTCTTATGGTTTTTTAAAAGAAGATATTTAAAGTTTTTTCTTTCAGTTGCCATGGCAACCAGAGATCTGCATGGAATTAAATTCTTTGAACAATTTTTAAAGGTGACCACCAAAGGAACATTCCTGTGAAGTTTGGATGAAATTGGCTTAGTGATTTATGAGGAGATGTCATTTAAAGTAAAAGTTTACGGACGGACGCCGGACGGACGACGGACGGACGGACGCGGGACGAAAAGCGATCACAAAAGCTCACCCTGTCACTTTGTGACAGGTGAGCTAAAAATGTCATAAAGTTGAATTGTTCTTAGGATCCCGATTTTAAAGAAATTTTCAACATGTAGCTTTAGTTTCCTTTCTTTCCATAAGAAGAGGACCTTCTGAAATTTTAACAGTTATTTATACATTCAGTCAGGCACAACTTAAAATTAATGATTAATTTATACAGTTCACAAAGTTCCAGTAACACTGACTGAGATTGAGGGACTACTCATACACAAGATTGAAATCTCAGTACACTGATAAAAACAAAGTTTTTTTTCTCTCTCTTTTGGAAGAAGGGCAAAGGTCACAAAACTTGAAGATTTTAATTATTTCATCTTATCATGATCAAGCTATATCGGAAATTCACACCATGACCGAGTACCAGCAAAAGTTCTGAAGTTATCAAAGGAACACATAAAAATGTAAGAACAAGAAAAGGATCCACCAAAACAGGTGTCCTTGAGCATGATTTGTTCACCTTAATAGTTTCTATAGAGGAATAATGTATTTACCTTTGTTTGATTCTTATAATCTCATGAAAATATCAGAAATCTATCTATTTTATGGCACAAAAATGTAGTTATCTATAGGTTTTATGGTCTATTCAATAATACTTAGAATCAGCAGTTTTTTTCTTTTCCTGCAAACACTTGTGCATTTATGTATTTTGTTAATTAACGAAACATTTATCACCAGTGTAAAATCTATATAAAAAACTTGAATGCTCTTGACAAAAAAATTTAACAGTGGTTTTAAAGTAGTTTAATATGTTAAAATAGTACAAAATAGTTTTTTCAATATTTCAAAAAGAGGGGAAATAATCATATTGACAAGTAAAGTTCATTAACTCTGATCACTTAAAGGATAACCATCACATAAAAAAGTCGATCAAATTAAGAAACCAACAATTTATAAATTGTACGACAGAAGCATATTTGCAGAGAGTTAACTGTTATACCAATAAAACAATATTGTCATCTAAAAATGTATACAGTAAATCTATGTGGACCACAAGATTAACCATAATAGCAATAAATCTGAGAAAAATATTTTTGAAAATTGCCTAAGGGAGGTAATTTCTTATCAAAGAAACAGAGTCAAATTTAGAGTTCATGTTCTTGGTCTTCGGAAACAACTATTGTTAGAAAACAGAGTGCTGACCGACTTAGATTTTTTTATTTTAGGGATTGTTATTTTGAACATAAAAATTACTCATTGTAGTATCTGGATATTGTAGATGACTGGTGTATGTTTGGATTTGAAATTAATGAGATTTAAATGTATTACAATGGTTTTTAGTAAGGCACTAGGCCAAACAATACCAGACATTGAAATATTAAACAGTTTCTGTTTCTAATCAAGGTCTGTACAAGATGAAAGCTAGGAAACTTACTCTCTGTACCTAGCACATAGTCTGTAAATACTTCTATTTGATGGCTTTTGTGTCAACAAAAAGTCTGCATATAAAAATGCACAATACTTTTTTTATTAAACCGAAATGAACGTCAAATATTAAAATCCACCAGCGATCTATCTTTACTTAAATATAAATTTATTGTATAATTATGATATTACAGCAGTCAATTTGCTTATGCTGCAAACTATACTTTCACTGCATAGTGAGATGGGTGTTATGAAAATATTAATAATCTATAATTTAGACACTTAGGATATCAAAGAACTACTGCCATCTCCCAGCAATATGCAATAAGCAAAAATCCCTTAATGTGCAGCACAGTTTAGAAGTATTTGATGTGACCACCTGGATAAAACCACATCAAAACTTGAAAATACTTATGCTAGCTGGAAGTCTTCTCAATGAAAAATTTAGGTCTTGTGGATTTATAACCCTCATAATGATAAACATGAGTCATTTTAATTATTATATTGTTACCGTTGTCACTGTTGAAATGATTTTGTCAGGATCACTTTTAAGGCTACTGAAGTTAAATGGTACGGTAATTTACCATAAAACTTAATCAATGAAAAAGAATATAAACACTTGAAAATACCAAAACGCTCAAGTACAGTTAATCTTATTTATTAAGATCTTCTGTTAAATAAATGCATAAAACAGGATAATTAAATACTGTAAAACAAGTAAATTAATATGCCCTTGGTATAGTTATTGTAGATCTAATGAGTTCGTCAATGTAAAGTTGTTAAAGAAGGGATTATATGAACGTATTTCGCGTAAATTACAGTTAAAGTCTTCTAGCGGAATATTTATTTAGCGGATTGTTCAAGTTTTGGCGGATTTCCGTTGTTTGGCGGATTTTTAGTTAGGGTTGAGCTACTGTTCAAATAATAACCTTGTTAGTCCGTGTTTCACGATTGGAAAAGCTGCTCAACTGAATTGAGCGTCTGTATTTATAGACTTTGGCGTGTTAATTCCGAAATGAAATTTGCCCGCCACTAAAACATTCAAAAGTACTCTTATCCAATAAGATTCGACAACGGAATTAGTTAACCAATCACAGCGTTCCGTTAAACATAGCACAGTCATGGCTCATACGCCGTCAGACAAAATAGATCCATCAAGGATCCGCTAAAATGTTATTATTCTTTTATAGAATAATAAAGACATAAAATATCGGCAGATTTTTATATAATAGTCACTCTTTTTCCAAAATATGATTATGGTAGTTTCATTGCATTACGGTACTTTCTCGGAATTTGGCCGGATATGGAACTTATTTCCGCTGAATCCGTCAGCTAGAAAATGTAAATAATACACACCTTTGTGTTCTAGTGACACTTCTAGTGTACACTTTCTGCATCTATTGTAATGGAATAATAGTTCAGGTATATTTCTACATATCTGATCGTTATTATTGTTTTTCTTTGGTCAG